GGCAGCGGCGACAAGTGCCAGGTAGATTTACCTGTGGGTTTTCTTCACCCTGGTCGCGGCCTGACAGGCATAAGGCGTTCACCACCTGCTCCTCCTATGTGAAGCCAAAACGTACAGATCTCCCCCTGGTGGCTGGCTGCAGAACAAAACGTTTTTGTGCATTTTTGCATTTATGACCTGATATACTAACGGACCTGACACTTGGAGGCCCAGAACTTGTTAACTCTACTCAGACTGCAACAGTATATAGAAATATATAGTATATGTATGTATATGTAATCATGCATGTAGAAAAAAAAATTTAAATGTGATTTCAACACATAATTTATTTTCATTTGTGACCTTGTGCATTATCATGTTGGAGGTTCTCATGAAAGGACAAAGAACTATTTGCAATAAAGGACAACAATGCTCAGATATACCGTTGCATTCAAAAAGTGATTGATTCATATTAAACAACCCAAAGTGTGGTAAGAAAGTATTCCACACACCATTCCACCATCACCCCCCAGCCTGGGCTGTTGACACAAAGCAGGCAGGCTCCATGGATTCATGCTGTAGATTCCACATTTAGAGACTATCATGTACAGCCTGAGTAGAAATTCAGATCCATCACACGGATACGTTCTTCCAGTCGTTTTGGTGAGTCTGTGTCTCCTGCAGCCTCAGACTAGTTCTTGCCTGAGAGGACACAGTCTTTTACTGATGTGGCCCATGCATCCACCTCTAGGTTTGATGTGTTGTGCATTCAGACATGCTTTTCTTCTCACCACAGTTGTAAACAGAAACATATTAACTTTAATGTTGACAATTTCTCATCAACTTCAATCCTGATGATAAATCAGTGTTGTCGGTTGTTTGTGCCGCCCAAAAGACGACATATTTTCTCACCGAAGTACCTAAAAGACAAATATTCCAATGCTATTAATAATTAATGAGTCAACAATATTAGTACTTCAGTGCATTATTCTTTGCACCTCAGTGCAAGTTTCATATATAGTTGTGATTTGGTTGAATGCATGTGTGTCACTTTATTTGAGTGACAGCAGAGCAATCATGATAGCATACATGGGACAAGGTGAACTCTTCTCAGTCTTCCTTACTCAGACAGTTATTTCTTATCAGCTCAAATGTGTCATGGTCTACTTTGGGTGTGCTTAACTTCCCCTGACCTTTAAAAGGCCTGATTATTTCCATCCACAATCTTCACTCGGCAATATGCTGCCAGCACAAAAGAATATTAGGCCCAGACTTGCCGATCTGATAATTCTAGCTCTCAGTTTGGAACTGAAGGGAAACCAAACCACAATGCCCCGTCACCCTATTATCATTTCATTGCCTCCACCTTCACCTTCAGTATTCTATCACCTTTCACCACAGCATGCAGGTTCTTCACGAGCCACGCGTGTGCTCTGTTTTATTACATCTTAAAAGTACTTTAAGATGTGGCCATGGTAATTAACTTCTCCTTTATGCATCACCCTCCTGAGACAAATTACACAGCTTTGTGTACCCCAGAATACTTTGTAGCAAAGTAAATCTCCTCAGTGTAGCGGGACTCCAGAGCTTGAGCTCCCTTGGCAGCACCATTTGATAAAAAAAGAGGAAATCCAAAGGGGACCAACAGGTCTAAATGTTTAATAGATTCTTACTTTACTTGTGGTAATCAGAGGATCAGAGGATCAGAGGGGGTCACATCTATCACCCGCAGAGCCAATAAAAGTCTTATTGTGTCTTGCTTCCTTTCACCTCAGGAGGAAATGTGAAGCAGATAAATGATGGCCTTGTTTCCAGGGAGCCTCAATCTATTGCCAACGATTTGTGGCCAACAAAGTAATTCCGATACCATTCTTTGTATTGATAGATGAGGCCTAAATTTAATAAAGAGCCAATTTACTCGTACGGGCCACAGGAATGGAACTGCTGTTATCTCCCCGCTGTTTTCCTTTTTCACCACCATCCTCCAATCCAAGTCAAAAATAAACGGCAGGGAAAAAGACAAACAGCACAAAGAGTGATGTTTTTGATCAAGCTTTGTTCTAAACTCTGACCATTGCTCTTCAATAACCTGTAATCCTAGTGAGGTGCTGCATGGTGTACAGTATAGAGAGAGGATAAATGATGATAGATCAGTGTGAAATATTTCTGACTTTGTGAGGTCGTTCTTTGTTAATGGGGTTGAATTTTAAGCTCAACAGAGGACTGAAGCAAAAAAACCTTTAACAAGCTCAGTGGTTTAAGTCATATTAAATTGTGCTTTTCCTCAGGGATATTACAAATAATAGGAGCCGAGAGGATTTTTCAAAATCACTTTCAAACCTCACATTTTGATGACCGCAGGCACTTTGCTAACAATGCATTGCTTTGTGGATGACACTGAGGCTCACGGTGCCATTGTGAGGTCTGCAAACTTCCTCTGAAACCTGCATTAATGCTGAGTCTGGGTCCTTGGAGGTGTGTGTGTGGGGGGGCTGCAGCTGAAACACCCTCTTTTTTTTTTCACAGCCAAACACTGGATGTATCGTGCCACCTGCTGTTACTGTTGTCTGACAAGGAAAAGCCTGCTCCTGTCACCACATGGTGCTAAAGGTACAAATTAACCCCAGAGTGAGAGGAGAGATTGTCTGCTTCACTGGGGAAGCCCCGCCAGGTGTGTGCACAGAGATTTAAAAACTCATCACCGGTGGATTTTTAAACAAGAGAGTAGATTATTCATGAGTACACGGTTGGAAAACACACTTTGAACTGAGTGTGGGTGGATAATAGCAAGAGAGACTTAAGCAACATTAGTGGGATTCTGTGCAAGCTGCCGTCCTTTCAAGGAACAATGCTTTATTGATTGGATGTGTAAATAATGTTTGTCTTGAAAGTGGCAAAATTAAAATTAATCAAACCTTGTTTTCCACTCCAGAGGAGAAGCTCAGATCTCAGTGTGCCAAATACACTCAAGGTTATTTGTTTGTTTTTTCACATTTACATTATGGCCTACACTCGTTTCCATGCATGTGTAAAACTGTGCGCTCGTGCATGTGCTGTGTTATAACAAATGTGTACTGATATTGATTACAGGCTGTGTGGTCTATTTGCTTGTGCTGCTCTACTGCCACCTATAGACAGAGTTTGAATCAGCCTTTATTTTGTCAGCTATTACACAGCAGAGCGCACTTTATCAACATAACACACAAACAACTGCAGTCATAGCATCAAATGATGAAGTCATGCTATGTAATGTATTTACTTATTCATTTTATTCCATTTTACTCCACAGAATATCTAGTTTTAAACCTTATTAGATTATTGTAGGTACAGCATGGTCTTTTATCACCTTTCGTTTATCACCTTTTTTCTTTGCACTCAAACTCATATTTGGCACTAAGTAGACTGCAACCACCATAAAGGCAATCCCCTTATTGAACCACATTTGAATTCACTTGATCCAGATTTTTATTTGGAGCTGCACCAAATTCCACAAAGTCCCCTAAACATTTCAGATTTTTTTTCATCAAGATCCATGAATCATTCTCTGAGAAATGAAGGAAGATGTTGACAAACATCCTATTTCACAATGTTAAAGGAAGTTAAAAAATAAATCCTGCATCTGGTCCCTGATACAGATCTGCATCAAAATACAATGTATTCTGTCTTGGCTCATGCCCAACCCCTCCACAAAATTGAATGGATATCGGTTGAGTAGTTTTTGTGTAAACTTACCAACAAACAAACAAACAAACAAATGCTGATAAAAATAATAACCACCTTATAGGAGGTAAAAAGGACATGTCTGTTTAGGTTACGTGTCTTGCACAGACATTTATTGCATGAGTTTTCAAATCATGATACAGTATTTTGACAACAGCATATGTTAACACATTAAAATGCACTGTAACCATCATGAGCTGCATTTCTAAACCGGACACAGATGTGTTGAAAATGACATCTTTTGTGAGGGAGGAGTCCTCAGCAGCTTTTGAAAGCGAGCCATCTGTCAGCAAACCCAGACACGGCAGGGGTTTGTTTGCTAAACAGGACAAAGGCGAGTGTTAGCAGCCAGATGCTGTCAGCATAATGGAGGAGTTGTCAAAAAAAAGAAAAGAAATCTGAACGTTGCTGTCTTTTGTGCCATATGGACAAAACGGAAGTTGTTTGAATCCTGTGTTTCAACTGTTTGAGTTGGTGGCAAATTATGTTGTTTTTTTACATTTGTTTAAGTGACAACATCAAATGATAAATGTCCAATTTCTGTTGATCAATTATATGTTTGCTGGAAGAAATAGACATAATGAGTCAGCGGTTTGTTGAGTATGTGACAGAACCTGACAGATACAGTATTGTGAGTGTTGATGTGTGTAATTAGACATCTAGAGCCATTCAGCATATTTTAATATAAAAAACCGACTATTCACTGACAAGCCACATATATTTTTGTTGCCACCTCAGCCATCACTCTGAATGATGTCAGTC